GACGGGACCCCCCCCTCCAGGAGACACTACAAAAGCGCTGCAGCCAAGTAGACCCGGAAGGGAGAGAAACCAGAAACTCCTCACAAACAAACGCCGCCGCATCTCCCTCCCTCGCTCCCTCCCGCAGAGGCTAGAGGAGGGCGTGGGGGGAGCTGCCGCTCCGCTCAGCTCCGCAGTGGGCAGAAAAGGGTTTTCTTTTCTTTCCCTCGTTACCTTCCAATGCATTTCTCAGCTGCCGTGGGAGCCCTCTGATACTGAGCGCGCCCTCAGGAGAACAATGATTTCTCGGGGAACGAGCCTCCCCTGGGGAGGGGGATTCCGCCCAGTGCTCCTGCTGGCTCTGCTTTCTTCTTGCTCTGCACAAGATGCCAGTGCGGAGAAGGAGCCCCGAGCTGAAGAAATCCCAGAGGGAGCATCCACCTTGGCATTTGTGTTTGATGTGACTGGCTCTATGTATGATGACTTAGTTCAAGTTATTGAAGGAGCATCTAAAATTTTGGAAACCTCTCTGAAAAGGCCCAAGAAACCACTTTACAACTTTGCTTTGGTGCCTTTCCATGATCCAGGTAAGGAAATGTTTTTCAAAGTCCAGTTAAATGGGGAGATCGATGTGTGTGAAGATTTTGGTGTCATCTGCTGAATTAGGGCAATGCAGTATATGTGAAGGCAGAAGGTTGGAGACCCATTTTAGAAAAACAAGCAAACAAAGAAACAAACAAAACCCTGGGGGAGAGCAAGAGACATACAATTAAAAGGGGACCACAGAGTACATAATTCTCCTCGGAAATGATATAAAAAGGTAATTTCGTGCACTTTGAAAGAAGATCTGTGCATACATCTTTTGTTCAATGTCTTAGTCACACTTTTTGCCTGGAATTCACATCAAGAATAACTTACCAATGGCAGACTATATTCTGCTGACTCCCTCTTGTCATGGTCATACACAAATATGCATTGTCACCTCTTGAGTGCTGAACACACCTATGTTTCCCCATCAGATACATGCAAATTGATTTTTAAAACATGCACATGCATACAGACTTTGAAAGGATTTAGTATCACTTCTGCAAAAGCCATTTTATGTTGAAATAAGACTTTCTCCTACTACTAAAGAACATAATAAGAATTTTGGACAACAGTTTCATTACACATTACACATGAGTACACAATCGTGCCTCCGACACGTTTTTTCAGTATTTCGGTACTACTTCAGCAAGCTTTCTGTGAAACAACTAGTCTGCTGTGCTGCTTTTGTTTCTCGTCTTTCCCTCATTCCACTTTTTCTCTTTGTTTTCTGCTGTTTATTTTGGCATATCCTGTTTTCATGTCTTTCAGTAGCTCTTTTCTGTCCCTTTTCTCTAGCTTTCCTCTCTTCCCTTCTCAAACTTCTCTTAGCCCTGGTCTCACCTTATTTCAAAATAACAAGCGGAGTGTCCACACTACCAAAGCTGGTATTTTAAAATAAGGGGGTGGTTCTTTTGAAATAATAACTCCTGCTATTCACAAGGAATAACACTTATTTTGAAATAGCTATTTCGAAATAGCAGTAATGTGGACACTCCACTCCTGCTATTTCAAAATAAGTACTCCCCAAAGTAATTCAAACTAATTACTCCCCAGTGCTTCCTGGGGTTCTAAGTTGAGGTAGCATGTCCACATTAAGGACTAATGTTGGACTAATGTTGAGGCTTCCCTGTTGTGTGGACACGCTATTTTGAAATAGTTATTTCGAGAGTTATTATTTCGAAATAAATTATTTCAAAATAATTTCCTAGTGTAGACATGCCCTTAATGATGTGAAAAGGAAACTGGAACTGGATGCTCCTAGATATGGAGCAGCCAGCAGAGGGGAAGGTTTAAACCAAACTTAACAAAAAATTTGAAACAGAAAAGAATCAGTTTAGAACGTGATTTTCTTGGTTCTAGTGTCCTCTGAGACGCTCAGATGGTGACATGCTATGGATCACTCACAGGAGCTCAGATAATACTCCTCTCCCCATATATCAGATGTGTAGTACTTTTACAGTGACACCATCGATGTTAAAGAGATTTGCCTGCAAAATGTTTACCTGTTATTGTCAAAAATAACACCCAAGGTCTATAATAGTGAAAGATTGTTGAAAAACTTGTTTTCTTTTTCAATTCTACTTGATGTATTTTTATATTTACTATATTTTCATAAGTATGTCCACCATCGTGATACCAGACTGCCTTCTATGAAAATTGTCAGTTGTGCTATTTCTTTCACAGAAGCAGTTTCCTTTGTTTTCCTGTTGCTGCGTGAAACACGTGTTTTAAAAAAATAGGATTTGGTGATTTTAAGGTCACGCAAATCATCTCTCTCTCTCTCAGTATGTGAATTCTGGCTTGAGTGTAGAATCTGAAAAAAAAATCACCTGGATTTTGGGTTGACAGTACCGTTTTGATTTTCCTGCCTTTTAAATTTGAAAACTTTTATTTTTAGATGGAAGACCAAATGCATTATAAACAGAAGAAAAAAAAATCTCCCATACAGTGATTCATTATAATAGCTAACCACATGCCTCTACTTTCTTGGATGATTTGTTCTGGAACACTTGTCTCAAACTCCAAAGCAGGAAGGTGATTTTTGTGAGGCAGACTTTATTTTTAAGTTAAGTTAATATAGATTTGGCTCCTTTCCTCTGCTCCCTCTAGCTTTGAGTAGGAGGACACCTAACTTGTATTCAGTGATTCTTTCAATCTTCCCTACAGTTTTTCCTTTCCAAGTCTTTCACCCCTCTCTTCTTTTTGCTGTCTCTGCAGTCTCCTTGATCTCATATCAGTCTGGTTTTCCACCTTTTTCTCCCATCGCTCCTTGTTGCTATTCCCAATGCACAGGAATCACAACTCCAGTACTCCTTTCTTTTCCAGCATCAAGGAAGAAAAGAAGCCCCCTTCTCCTGCTTCTCTTTTCCTCCACACCAGAGGAAATCCCTTCAGTTGATTACTGAAATGTTAACATCTTATTTAGTAATTAAATTAAATCCTTATACATTGGAAAGCATGCAACAAAACCTGTTTGCAGTATTATAGTTGGCATTCTTATACATCAGTTTTGCATCTTTAGATGAAGGGTCAGCTTGCACATATAACCATGAATATCAAGATTTTCTACAAAGTGATCATTTGGTCCACTTTAATGTTTTAAAGTGAAAAAGGAAGATTGTCATATTAAATCTACAACAATTTTTGAAAGCTCCATTTCTTTAACTTCTCCCTCAGTCCCATAAGCCAACAGCACTTTCCCCCATACTGGCATGTTCTGCTTAGAACAGTGAGTTGGCCGCATGAGTGACCCTCATTCATTTCAGAGGGTTCCAGCAGCCTGTTTGCTCCCTCCTCCTTCAGCTTGTTTGCCTCCTCCCCGCCCACCTCTCATGCACTGGGGCACTGGAGGCCCCTTGTACCATTCCAGCTCTGGGAGTGGGAGGGAGGAGCTGGGACAGAGCATGAATCAGTGGATTTGTGGTGTTCCGAAAGTTCTGGGAGGGATGGGGAGGAAGTGCCGGGTTCCAGCGCCCAAGAGGAGTGTGAGGGAGGAGAGCAGACAGGGATCCGTGGGCCTCAGGTGGAACCCCAGTGGGCTGCATGCGCTGCCCAGACTGCTGATTGCCCACCACTGGTCTAAAATTATAGGAATTTGGCAATTGTCATATGTGATTGGACCTCTACTGTGTCCAATCAGTAACCTATATGACAGTGAACATGGTGCCACTGCTTCCAGGAGTCAGCACCCCACGCTGGCAGCACCTGTCTGGGGTTGTAAATCCCTGCTGGCGGGGGGTTGCTGGAGCAGTACAGCTGCACAGCTGAGAGAAGCTACTGGTGCAGGGTGCTGATGGATATTGATTTCTATCTCTGAATAGAAATGGGGGAACACAATATGCTTGCAATGGATAATCAGACCTTCATCTTCAAAGACTTCCACTGTCCTTGATGGTTTGGCATCTCTCTCTCTCTCAGTATGTGAATTCTGGCTTGAGTGTAGAATCTGAAAAAAAAATCACCTGGATTTTGGGTTGACAGTACCGTTTTGATTTTCCTGCCTTTTAAATTTGAAAACTTTTATTTTTAGATGGAAGACCAAATGCATTATAAACAGAAGAAAAAAAAATCTCCCATACAGTGATTCATTATAATAGCTAACCACATGCCTCTACTTTCTTGGATGATTTGTTCTGGAACACTTGTCTCAAACTCCAAAGCAGGAAGGTGATTTTTGTGAGGCAGACTTTATTTTTAAGTTAAGTTAATATAGATTTGGCTCCTTTCCTCTGCTCCCTCTAGCTTTGAGTAGGAGGACACCTAACTTGTATTCAGTGATTCTTTCAATCTTCCCTACAGTTTTTCCTTTCCAAGTCTTTCACCCCTCTCTTCTTTTTGCTGTCTCTGCAGTCTCCTTGATCTCATATCAGTCTGGTTTTCCACCTTTTTCTCCCATCGCTCCTTGTTGCTATTCCCAATGCACAGGAATCACAACTCCAGTACTCCTTTCTTTTCCAGCATCAAGGAAGAAAAGAAGCCCCCTTCTCCTGCTTCTCTTTTCCTCCACACCAGAGGAAATCCCTTCAGTTGATTACTGAAATGTTAACATCTTATTTAGTAATTAAATTAAATCCTTATACATTGGAAAGCATGCAACAAAACCTGTTTGCAGTATTATAGTTGGCATTCTTATACATCAGTTTTGCATCTTTAGATGAAGGGTCAGCTTGCACATATAACCATGAATATCAAGATTTTCTACAAAGTGATCATTTGGTCCACTTTAATGTTTTAAAGTGAAAAAGGAAGATTGTCATATTAAATCTACAACAATTTTTGAAAGCTCCATTTCTTTAACTTCTCCCTCAGTCCCATAAGCCAACAGCACTTTCCCCCATACTGGCATGTTCTGCTTAGAACAGTGAGTTGGCCGCATGAGTGACCCTCATTCATTTCAGAGGGTTCCAGCAGCCTGTTTGCTCCCTCCTCCTTCAGCTTGTTTGCCTCCTCCCCGCCCACCTCTCATGCACTGGGGCACTGGAGGCCCCTTGTACCATTCCAGCTCTGGGAGTGGGAGGGAGGAGCTGGGACAGAGCATGAATCAGTGGATTTGTGGTGTTCCGAAAGTTCTGGGAGGGATGGGGAGGAAGTGCCGGGTTCCAGCGCCCAAGAGGAGTGTGAGGGAGGAGAGCAGACAGGGATCCGTGGGCCTCAGGTGGAACCCCAGTGGGCTGCATGCGCTGCCCAGACTGCTGATTGCCCACCACTGGTCTAAAATTATAGGAATTTGGCAATTGTCATATGTGATTGGACCTCTACTGTGTCCAATCAGTAACCTATATGACAGTGAACATGGTGCCACTGCTTCCAGGAGTCAGCACCCCACGCTGGCAGCACCTGTCTGGGGTTGTAAATCCCTGCTGGCGGGGGGTTGCTGGAGCAGTACAGCTGCACAGCTGAGAGAAGCTACTGGTGCAGGGTGCTGATGGATATTGATTTCTATCTCTGAATAGAAATGGGGGAACACAATATGCTTGCAATGGATAATCAGACCTTCATC